TTCGCACCAAAAGTTAATATCTTAGGCATAATTTGAGTCGTAGAATCGAAATATGGAAAACAATGGTATGTTATTTCAGAAAAAGTCCGATTTTGTGTCAAAATATCTATGTTAGAACAATGCTATATATAAATCTAATATATAGCCTAAGGTGCGCTTTCGGGACATGGAAAATGCAAGTTAAATTTCTACAATCGGTCCAGTAAAACGGAAGATATACAACTGTCGCATTTTTTTGTGCAAGGTGTACAAAAAGAGATATGTATGATTATGCATACTCAAACAAGTCATATTCAAAATTTGATACATGCAGATCAGAACATTTTCTTCAAAATACCAAACTCGAAAGTTTCTGTGATGGCCAGGTACAAACAAACTGAAACATAATTTTTCAAAGTACTGAACCCGAAAATCTATATATTAACTAAACTTCCTTTCAAGTAAATAAATAAAGTATAAATGAATGCAAAGTTACGAGGCAAAATGTTGCAATTAAAGTTATTGAGTTACATTTAAATTAAAATTATAAATAACTATATAATACAGAGTTAAATTCAGTTTCAATTCCAATCAGTTTACTGTGTGTTGTATCTCGTGTGTAAGGGCATAGGACAGAAATTCGTTATTTCCTAGTGTAGAAAAACTCTTTTTATCAGTATTTCCTTATGCTTTTGTTCTTGTGTAAGTCTTGTCTACATAAAGAACGTTTCTCATCTGACATGGAAGAAAAAATGTAATATATACATATTTTCCTGTTTGTTGATTTCATTTTAAGATGAAGCGTAGTTTCATTTCTTGTATAATTCCGTTACATCGTTCAATAAAAAATGGAGTACATTTACATTTCCTACAAATAGAACGGGAAGAGGGAAAAAGTTTACAAAGTTTACAGCACATCATAAATATTTGAATGGCGTTTGATAAGAATATTAAGCTTTTAATTTGTAATAAAAGTAAAATGTCTTAAACGCAAATTGTGATTAGTATAAGCTATTGTTCGCATAAAGAGAAACTCTAATTCCGTGAATGAATACCTAATTATTGTTTTACTGTGTTTAATACTGGTAAATATTATTTTACTAGAATTATTTTATGGTGAAACAGGTCTACGTTTGCTTTGTTTGTCTTTTGATGCATGCCTAAAGCTTATGAACAAAGATACTAGAATACTTTACACTAAACAGTTATTTATACAAGTATGTAGGTTGTATTAAAAATAAATGTAATATCTATTAGATCCTATATGGTCCTGGGCATAATTAAGTGTTATATTTCAATTCGTTTATCTGTCTTAAATATTGTTGTCCTCTATAAACTGATAGAAGGTTTTGAGCATAAGCTATTAAATCCATTAATATCGAAGTTTAAATGTGGACAAATATTTTCTCCTTACCTGCATATGACAGCTGCAGTTTAAAATGCCAAGTAAAGGGAAAGTGATATTTTACTATTCACTAAAAATTATGCTATGATGGAAATGATGTAGGTCAAAACTATGTCAGAAAACTTACAATTTAAATACAATCTGTCTATCGTTAAATTAACTTAGACTCTGTACGCTAAACAGAAAATTACCATCAAAAGATAACTTTCTTTTTACTAATATATCAAAGTTCATTTTTTCTTCTCCTATTATCCCGGTTTTAAAAATTTCGAAATGAAAGAGACGAAGATAATACCCCCTCCCAAAAAAAAAAAAAAAAAAAAAAAACACGCTTAGAATGAGTGATTATTGTAACTATAATATCTATCTAGCTATTTCTTTCGCTGTATCTATTACCTCTCTATTTCTATCTCTGTTCTCTATCTCTCTCTATATATAAAGCAGCAGCAGGCACTAATCATTTGAAAAGGAAGAAGGAATTAAGACATGAATAGTGGTAGCTTTGATTTTGGTTTAATTTGTCTTGATCGTTAAGTTTAAGGAGACTATAGGGAGAGTTTTTAAGCGAAACTTGCTAGTATTGATATTACACGTGAGGAAAACCACGTAAATACCCCTGCAACCAGCTCGTATGTACTTACCACACACATTTGCATATGATTATGGGCCCACCAGCGGCCGAGCAGTAAAGTCGCTGAACACTGGTAGTTCGGTCCGAGGTTCGAATCCCGCGAATAGGCTGGCTGCATGGGCGCTTTCGTGGCTTTCTCCATGTGTAACATGTATACGAAACAGTTTTCTCAGAAAGTCCTCCACGAAGGCATGCTTCCCCTTAGACAGATAGCCCTCGAGGCTTTGCCATAATCACACACGCACACATATGATTATGACTAGATTATTTGACTATGGGAAAGCACACGAAGACTATCTGCCTAAGGGTATGGATGTCTTCGTGAAGAACTTTCTAAGAAAAATTGATTCGCATTCACGTTACAAATGGAGAGGACCTACAAAACACACTTGCTGCCAGGTCTTTCGCCGAGGTTCGAATCCGAGCCAACCGCTCTACTGCCAGGTATTGAATACGTGATGGCACTAGAAAGAGGACAAAACGGCCTAAGTTTAAAGAATTGGTCAAAACGTATTAGTCTTAATTTTTAACTAAAACTGAGTTAAAAGGGCCCAAATCACTTTCGGTTCTATAAACGCAAGTAAAAAACACTCAATGGTATTAGACAAAGGGTAAAATTATTTAAGTTTCAAAACCAGATCGAAATATAGATTTTACAGCGAATTCACGTCGAAAAAGAATTTTTAAAACTTAAGCGTAAAAATGCTGCGTAACTACCAAAGCGTTGGTTATATGGAAAGGTTCACGTTAGAGTCCTGATAGATGCAGTGATGTTATGAATATATGCAAGTATTATACAATAAAATACAATTAATATAAGCATATTTAAGCGTTTTTACTAGTAGAATATCAGGAAAACATTTAAAAACTCGGCAGAATACAGTTGCTCCCTTAACGTTTCTGGTCTCCATACATTATTAATGATATTTTATGATTATATGGATAGATTGAGAATAATTAATCTATAACCATGTGTAAACCACTCAAATCGAGTAACAAAGCACTCGATGACACCGGATATTTTCAATTCCTAAACGGAGGTACTACCATGAACGAAGGCATGCAGTAGGAAAGGCGAAAATTCTTCAATGACTGACTTCTTTTTTTTTTTAATTTCGTTTAAGCGAACTTAGCTTGTTCGAAATTTAGCATCTATGAAACTATGGAGGAAAGTGAAACTGAATCAGTAAATCCGAAAAACAGTCGTTTCCAAAATTTTAAAATCAGCTTTCATATACCGTTTCATTTCTCAAAGGTATATAATGAAATCAAATTATTTCACTCTAATGCAGATAGAAATAGTGAATCGTGAAATGTCTTACACCGGAGATGAAATGCATGATCATCAAACCCTAGTGCAACAAAGCAACAACAAAATGTTATTCATTCTTTTAAATAATGCAAATATGTAAATGTATCGTGAGACATACTTTTGCTTAACAACGGTATACATACTTTTTTTGTACTTTAAACAGCTGAAAATAGTTCCCATGTGTTATTCGAAAAATATTATTGCTAAGAAAAGGCTTCGTCTCCTTTATTTTGGATAAGCAAGCATCTATTGCGTTTAGGCTGCAGTTTATAGTTATTTCCGTAATAAAATTGCCATTAAATTTTCCAGACAAACTATTAAGCTTTCAGGAACTTAGACCAGCTAAATCTGATAATGTTTCATTTGGACATGCCAAAGCACACGAGGGTTATCTGCCTAAGGGGAGGGATGCCTTCGTAGGACTTCCGAACCCGATAAGAATGATATATTTTCTATGATTCTGTTTAAAAATACTTCGTTAGAAAAACATAAGACAGAGGCACACTCTCACTTTGGCCTATTTATATAGGCACTCAAATGCGCCCTCCAATTTTCTGTAGTATCCCATTGCCTGGCAATTGAGATCTAACATGCTTATTCACTGTTATCTCCTACATAATCTTCTGTTTTAGACGTATAGAGGCTTATTTATAAATGCATATCTTTCAAGGGTTTGAGTTCAAGGATACATATCTTTTAGCAGTGTACTTCAAGAGCAGTTTCGTATCTAGAGCATTGGAATTTGCAAATGTTTTAACGCAACCCTCGTTAAAAAAAAAAAAAAAAATTCTGTGTAACTCAATTTTACGCCAAATTTAAAGAATGTTTAAAGAGTTCAAGAAAATTTATTCTTCTGAATAAAAACATCAGAAGTAAACTAGAGATTCAAATATTTTTTTCTTTACTTGAAAAGCCAAGTTTAAGGGGGGAAAATAAACGATATCTCTTCTCAAAATAAAATTATTCGAAACTGAAAAAAAAAAAAAAAAAAGCGGTACTTAACGAAAATTCCTGCTTTAAACTTTGGAACGGAAATGAAAGTTCAGTTTCTGTTAAAATACAGTAATCTCATAAATAACACCGTAAATGAATAATAATGCGAGAAAAACGAATACTTTATACGAAAAGCAACTGAATAAAATACAAAAGGTATAAAACATAAAATAAAAAAAAAATTGTTTATAAACGCTAGAGGCATTTAAGACGGCACAGAGAACTCCAGTCTTATATTTAAGCAGAGGATGAACGTTTTGAAAATAGATTACTTTATGAATGGTAACACAGAAGTTTAGAATCACGAATACACTCTAATGCTTGGTTTTGCTTTAAATAAGTCAAGCTTAAAAATGATTTAATAAACAAAAATTACAGTTATTAAGAATTTTTATGTAAATAATAGTTAAATATATTTGGTTGTATAAACAAGTCATTTTAATGATAAGGATTAGAGTGGTTAATTATTTCGTAAGCCATTGTTATGTTCCTGATACTTCAACGACATTAACTTCGGCTACATTTGAACTTACAAACAGAATAAAACTTCTCGAATTAAATTATTATTGTTTTCAGTATACAGACGCAGATAAATATACTTTTAAAACAGTCATTAATAAAAACCTTTATTGTGTAAAATTTAATTAATAAGCACTGATCTTTCGATTTAACTTTTTTAGCTGAATTTACTAAGGAAATTCAGAAAAATGATGTAGCTCCATCCAAGATAAATAACCAAGAAGGTCAGTTTATTTAAAAATATTTTTACGTTCTTAGAATTAATTATATTAAAATATCAATTAGCTTTTTGAAAAGAAATTTTATTTACTATAAAAACTATTATTAACTAGAATAACTCTTTATGAACATTTGATAAATCAAAGGTCTTGCAGCAGGTCTGCCGAAGGAAGAGGAGAAGGAAACATTTTTGCCATTAACTGAGGAAGTAACTGAAAACTGTGCACCATATACGATAGGGTATGGAGAATATACGGATGGTAAGATATATCTGATTTCTCTCTTTTAGTTAAAGCACCTTTAACAACTTCTAACAAACAAACAAAAAAATATCTATTTAACTCTTATATGTTATTTTTCGTACATAGTTGTATCTGACTATTGAATTCTTTCCTAATGGATATTTCGACAAAACAGCCTAAGGCGAAATAGCCCACGACAAAACAACCCATGACAAGGTAGCATGCAGCATGGTCAAAATGGCCTAAATGAACGGCTTCGGAACTGGGTCTCGCAAATAATTTTTAAAACTTTTAATTTATAGATATATGCAGACAGTATAAAAGAGGGCCACAGCGTATGTTTAAATCAGTATGCATTTTGCATGCAAATGTGTTATAAAAATTATGTATGTCAAAATTTGATATTGTGCGCATATTTACATAAGCTTATCAGGTTCAATGTTCCGTCTTACTTTCTTCGGGAACCTGCAAGGACCTGACTCGGAACAGAGAGCTTACTAAAGCTATGTTCAATAACTGTGGGAAGTAGACAGGATACACAAGAAGGGTATACAAAACCCTTTATTTTTTTCTCTATTTACAATAACTTCCGTACTTCGGAATACAAAGACCCACTACTTGTGGTCTAAACGTAAAAATATAAAAATAAACTAAACTCTAACTTAACTTTAAAATAATAAACGTGGAAGATTGGCCTTATATTAACAGGAAGCCGTATGTAGTACAGAGAACTGTGAACACTACAATACGTTTAAAATTATCAAGAGGATTAAACCTCTGGCCTGGAAGGCAACCAGCAACTGAGTAAAACTTCTAAGGTAAGCGGCCTGCTTCGACTAACTGCTTCCTCTCTCTCGCTTGGCAAAAAGCCACAACTTAAGTACTTGGCGTTCGCCAGACAAACTTTGCATAAATAAGTTAACGCTTATAATTCTGGCCGGAAGTAGAAAATAAGAGTGATAGTAAAGATTTAAAATAAAATAAACGTTAGTAAAACTTAAGATCCTTACATACTTCCCGCCAGAGTTATTAGTTTGAAACTGAGGTCTAAAACGACCTTGTTGAAAACTTTTAGCTCTAGAATCTAACGCGAGGCCAATCGTTTACAAACATTTTTCACTAGAAACTAGAAATTTAAAAAAAAGAAATTTGTTTTTACAATAGCAGCTCCAAGGACACGCAATTTTTTCATCTGTACTGCATCTAAACAGGAGCTTTTATTCAAATCTGGTTCCTTCCAGAGATCTGGAAGGAAAACTAGTTTAATGAAATGTTACACAATGAAATGGCAAGTAACATGATATTTATATTTCTCTTAACATTCTTATTTCATTCATGACTATTTTAATTATCTCTCCCCGTGCTCTCTGACATGTGTTGTAAAAGAACACCAAACACGAATGTGTTTATGTACTACGTGTTCAACACTTCCTCCTACAATCAAAACACTAACGTGTTAAAAATTCAACATACCAAGACCTCGTAACACACCCTAATTCAACTCTAAACCCTGAGGTACTATTCTGAAAGTGGCTAACTCTGAAGTGTAGCGTCAGAGAGCCTAACTACATTCATTCAACCTTTAACACATATTCACCATGATTTGGTCTTTTTACAGTCACACGAATAAAAAAAATTTTAACATTACTTTCACTTTTACCATATCACGGTATTTCTTAACATTTAAAATAACAGTTCACATTGTATATAAGAACATATTAACATGCCGTTAATTTTACGCATTTGAAAACATACATTAGTAGTACATTGTTAACTTCTATTCTTTTCAAAGCAAGTGCCAATTCTTCTACATTGAAATACTACATTTCAAAAAGTCTTTCAGACTAAAACTTCTTTCTTGCCAGAATGTTTTAAATAAAATTATACAATAACTTTTTACAATATTTAAGTCTTTACATATTCCTATTATACATCAACTTTAGTTTTACGCGCGAGTAATTGAAAAACATAATACCAAAATCGGTAACAACTCATTTCTCGCCCTTTTTGGCGATAAAGGTAGACCTCGCATGAGGTAAAACTTCTTGAAATCTGCCACTTGCAGTAAGAATGAAAGATTAACTTAAGTTTGCAAAGTAACATAAAATTTTACTTATCTTTGTGATATTCGGACATTCTTTTCTGGGCCCAGTCCTGGAAAGGTAGCAGATAGTTGTTTGATTTATCCTCCTTCTTGTGCGGGCTCGCCCTTCAGTGCCTTCCTCTAGAAGCTTTCTTTTTTCTCCAGTTCGGTCACCCTTGAATACCTTCTTTTTCGCCTCTGCCTGTGGTCTTGGCCGTTTGATGGCAGCTGGTCTTGGCGGAACCGGGAAACTTCTTTCGTGTTCCTGCTTGGACCTCGTTGCTGGCCGTTCAAATTTTTCCTTGTAACTTTTCCTCCGCCGCTGGTGGCCCTTCCGCAGTTCGGCGACATTTGCTGCGGAGAGTCCTGTCGGATGAGTAGATCTTCCGTTTTGAGCCGGGTTATAGTTGCCGTCATTTCTCCTGGCTTCTCTTTGCATACGTCGTCCTTCTCCCTTCTTCATTCTGGGGGTGTTCGTGAGCTCTCTTTTCTGGACGGTGGAACGGCTTCTTTTTCTTGTTACCTTCAATTTTCCGCGGGGAAACTTTCTTTTCACTTGCTCCTGCCTCTTAATGGCTTGCCCTTGTACTTGTCGTTGTTCCACCTCTGGAGCTTGTGCCTGCGGTGTCTGCCGTGCCGGATCCTGCAAAAGATCTTTGAAAATTTTGCATTTTATTACGATCATAGTAGGGTTTTATTTGATCAATGTTTGCGGAGCAGGTTTCACCATTTCCTGGCTTTTAACACTACTACAGCGTGAGTTATTTTTTTTCTATGACATATGGTCCTTCAAATCGTGGAAAAAATTTGGCAGTTTTATCTTCTGGTGCTGAAGAAAGTGAATGCTTAATTTTTAACACTTCATCCCCTACTTTATAAGTTACTCCCCGTCGTTTCAAGTCATAATAAGCTTTTGTTTTCTCTGTGTGCTACTTCAGTATTCTTTTTTGCTTCTTTAATTAGTTTTTCTATATCACCCATTTTAAATTCTGGGGCTCTTTGTTGCACATAAAATAATTTATCTAACGGCGTTATAATCTTTCTGCCTAAAAATAACTCAGCAGGAGTTTTGCCCGTTGTATCATGTTTTGCGGTCCTAAGGGCGAAAGCAAATTCATTGACATAGTTATCCCAGCTTTTTTATGAAAATTTTTAACATAACTACGGATAATTTTCACTATATTTCTATTGACCCGTTCCGCTATATTTGATTGCGGCCGATACGGGACCATTTTTAAATGACGTATGCCCAGTTTTTGGCACATGTCTTCAAATACATTACTTACAAATTGAGGACCATTATCCGATATAACTTTTAGGGGCGCCCCGTATTTTAAAATATATTTATTTAAAATAGAATCAGTAACTAATTTCGCGGAGGCTCGTTTTAAGGGAACAATTTCGGTCCACTTACTAAAATGATCAACCATAACAAGGAGATAGCGACTTTTATTTAACTGACTTTTTGGGAAAGGGCCCAATAAATCGATGCCAATTATTTCATTTGGAAATTCGGATTTAATACTATTTAGAAACCCGGCCGGGCGGAAATTAATATAATTAACTGCTTGACATGTTGGGCAGGACTGGACATACGCCCTTGTTAACTTTTGCAGTTCAGGAAAATAGACTGCCTCGCGTACGCGTTGGATAGTTTTTCGAATACCAGCATGAGAAGCTAAAGGGCTGTCATGGAGCTCCTGCAGGATATTTAATCTAAGACTAGCTGGGATAACAGGTCGAAATTCGTTGTTGGAATTCGTAGTTTTTGTATAAAATAATAGACCATCTATTAGTTCGTAATGGGCCGCCCTATTTCTTATCGCCACAATATCTTGGTGGCTAAAATTTTCAGGATCCTTTAAATACTCATAAATGCTTCCAAACTCAGGATCCTTACCCAGTTCGGTTATTACAGTTTCTCGGGAATTTATTGTACATGCTGTGAGCATTGCCACCTTTACAGTATTACCTTCTTCATCTATTTTTAATTCTGGATAGGGCATCTGCTACGATATTTTCCTTTCCGGGGGTATGCTTGATTACCAGATTATATTCTTGTAGCTTGAGTGCCCATCTTATTAACCTTGGGGATAAGTTTTTCCCTGAGTACAATCTAGTTACCGCCGCATGATCAGAGTACACACTGTTATTGGCGCCCTTTCCAAAATAGACTCGGAACTTTTGCACTGCTAACAGAACTGCAAGTGCCTCTCTCTCGGTCGCGGAATAGTTTCTTTGTGTTTGATTTAAAGTTCGGCTAAAAAATGCCACGGGCTGCTGATTTTGCGAAAGTACCGCTCCTACCGCATAATCCGAAGCATCCGCTGAAATTTCTAAATTCTCATCCTTTTCAGGAAATTTCAACACAGGGGCTTGCGTTAATGCTTGTTTTAATTTTTCGAAAGCACTATTGGCTTCGGCCGTCCACGAGAATCTTGCCTTTTTCCTTTTTAATTTTAACAATGGTTCAGCAATAGCTGCAAAATCTTTTATAAAGGACCTATAATATAAACAAAGTCCTAGAAAAGAAGAGAGCTTCTTCGCCGTGTTTGGAGTCGGATACTTTTGTACAGCGATTATTTTTGATTCGTCTCTCTCGATTCCTTTCTGAGATATTTTGTAACCTAAATATTTTAATTCAGGGGCTGCAAATTTGCACTTTTCGACATTAACTTTTAGACCGGCCTCATTTAATAAAGAAAACACCTGTCTTAAATCCTGTACATGTTGGTCGAGATTATCACTAGTAATAATGATATCGTCTAAATAGATAAATGTGGACTTTCCAAGAACAGGTCCTTAACACAATGTCCATACATCGCTGAAATGTTGCCGGTGCCCCTGAAAGGCCAAACGGCATACGCAAAAATGCATAAGTGCCAGACTTGGTTATAAAAGCAGTCTTAGGCACGTCCTCAGGCCTAACCCCTAT